ATTTATAAAAGTTCTAATAAAACAATCCCTTTTATATATTATAAACAAAAATACTAAAAACATAAAGAATATTCAATAGCTCTATTTTAATTAACTCGATAATAAGTTGAAGGTTGATATCACGATATAATTTAAAACAAGTAAAAATGTGTGTGCTCGTATATTGCTCATAATACCTTCCACGTATTAGAAACTCGTAGGAAAACGATTACCGACACTCGGATGTTATTAAATTGCCGTAATTCGTTGCGCGATTATCAGTAACGATAAAACTTATGCTAATAATTATTGTTATGGGATTCGGAAAAGTGTCTAACCGCTTCCTGTCGCAGCAGCACGCAGCAATCCTGCAGAAGGGCGTCGATGCAAATCGCCGTTGGTTCGCTCGAATTGAAGCCAATTTCAGCATGCCGGCAAGTAAATAGGACGATTAGTGTCGGTCGTTTATATTCTAATTGGTATTTTAAATGCAGACAATTTTTGGCGTTTGCTTGTTCTCCTTTTTTTTTCAAATTCAGTCCTTTGCCTTAACTTTACATAGCAACAATCACACAAAAGAAAACATGTATCTTGTAAAAAAGCAAAAAATAAATTAATCATTGCAACAAGATTAATTAAGCGGCACAAAGAAGGCGTCCGCACAAAAAACAATAATCCGAGGGTATCGGATGAAATTATGCAAAGCAGATTCATAATTTAGTAGCTCATTTAGCGGCAGATTAATTCATTAGCGCTTCGCCGTCGAGTTTTATTTTTGGAATGCGCGGCGCGCGCCCGTTCACTGAGTTCATTCAGTTTATTCACGCTATCTTCGCGCGACGGCAAAGAAATAAGCGCACTTTGCGTCCTTTGCAAGCGCGTCTCGCGTGTTTCTTCATCTCCGAATCGGATTAAATTTCATACACTAAAAAGCTATCTTTATTTCTGTTTCCTATATTCTACCACCATGCGCGCTTTGTGACAGCAGAGGCGACGGTGAAGTCCTGCACAGTCATGAATGTATGTATGATGCAAACGAAAAGTGAGTTTAAGTTATAATAATGCGCCGCGGTTCGTCCTCGTCGTTATACTGGCGCAATGTTACCGCTCCTTCTTTGTCGGTGCTTTTGCTTTTCTTAACAACGTAAGGAAGGCAAACTTGCCGAGTCTAAATCCTTGCGTCTTAGATAACGCCAACTTCACACCGGTTTGGCATCACTGCTAAGCTACTGGATTATTCATAAGTTTAAGCTAGTTTGTAACTCACTTTCGCCTCGCATTTCGCATCGGCTGGAAATTCCAGGTTGGTGGCGCTCGAAACAAACCATTTCGTAGATTGGTAGGTAATCGCTTCCTCATTACTTATCCGAAATGCACGTATTTAGCACCTAACAGTCGTTTTAGTGGCACATTGCTTATCTATTGCCATTACGACACACGATACCACTGATACTTCACATTACGTATTTAGCCTAGGATGAATCACCCAATAAATAAATAAAATTGAAACTATTTATTTCCCTTGGATTAACATAAATATTTTATTTGGATTGTATGCCAAAATAACAATACTGGAATTTTGGCTAGGTACTTACAAGCAAAATGTATTGTAAAACAGGGGCTTTAAGAATTTATTCCAGATCTGGTCGGTAGTCCTCGCCGGCTTTGGCCCATGCCACCCCTATACTTTTATGTGAATTGCCTGCTTACTCTTCTGCTTTTTCTTTCTGGTCGTGCCGCGCGCAGTTATAGGGACCGAAGACGCATTCTGCTCCATCCAAATGGCTTACTTAGCAAAACTACCACTGCTTCACAGGCGGTACGGGTACAATTGTAGTGCCCTCGTGCGCGCTAGACAACACTAACCACGCCACAGCACCCCTTCTTATAATCGAGCAATTAAAATCTTTTCCGCTCCTGCATTCGCGGAAATTCCCTCTTGAGGACCTCTTACCAAATAGCTGCAAAAGGTTCTAGTTGATTGCAATGTTTATTCTGTGTGCATTGCTCACAGTCCTTGCCAAAGGACAGTTTTTGGATGACTGGGAAGGCGGATTAGAGTTTTCCACGAGTTAGTGAGGCGAGACGGTTGAAAATTTGCCTAAATAAACAAGATATTGTACGTGGAAGAAACATTAGCGGAGTGCGACTTTTTGTTTTCTTGCTGCGCCATTTGGTGGTTTTGGAGGTGCACGCAAGAAGTGAGAAGTGCAATAAATCAACGTGCAAGACCCGAGGGCCGAAATTATGTTTGTTTAGTTGGTGCTTTTTGCGCTCTGCCGCGGGACCGTCTGAGCAGACACAATTATCGCGATAAATAAAATGCCCTTAAAATCACGTCCGATTTATTTCCACGACCGGCCATAAACCAAGAGCGAAGCTCCCGCGTTCCCGAAAGGCACAGAAAGCAAGAAACGAAGAAGATGTTGGAATAAAAAAAATATCGCAAATATATATAAAAGAGCACGGCGAGCTCGCCTCTCCGGTGGCGGTAATAATCTGGAAGTGATGAGAGGGGGGCCAAACGTTCCCGCGCGAAAGGGGTGGGTTGTGTGTGTTGGCCCGAGCGCCCATCATGGAGGGGCCATCAATCAGTTGAGGATTACCGGCGGACTGTTATTAAGAACGCTCGTATGAGACCCACCGCCACCGTCTCTCCGTCTGCGCGCAGCGTGCTGGAAATATTACTGTTCTAGAATATAAGTTTTCATCACATACACATCTCTTAAAAGTCAGCAAAACACCCCCGAAATTCTAAAGATTCTCGCTTTCATTAAGCATTTAAAGTAAAAATGTCCTTCGTAAGAATTTGCTTTCCTCACTTTATTGCATTTTACTTTGGGCAGACTGTATACAAAACGCTAGCTATCAATGGCACAATGCGCGCTGTGTTTTCGCTCGACGTCAGGCTTCCTCGAGCGTGCACACAAGACGCAAACTATTGCGAAGGTGCAGAGAAGGAAAGCAAGGCGAAGAATTATGAAGAATTGTTAGCTTAGTGGAGCGTCTTTTCTACATGCCAATCTAGACTGCCTTATTTCCACTTTAAACTCGCCCTTCGCTTGGCTGCTGCTGTTACACATACTCAAGGCAATGTGCGAAGTGCAGAAGTGGATCTAGCAACTGATGCTGATCCTCTTTTAATTAAAACCCTTATACAATCCGCAGAAATGCACATTAATCATCTCGCAATCTCAACACTTCCAAACCACTCGCTTGAGCCGACCAGCTTCCACGTCCACCATGGTACTAAACGAGGATGTGCGAGTATATTAAACAGTATCGCCAACCATTTTTTACTATTATAAACTCAAAACGATCGTAATGACAGCAAATCTCTGAGGTGTCCTGCAGTGCAGTTATATGAAACACCAAGAAAAAATATCCATTAGAGGATATTAAATAAATTGAAATAACACATTAAATATTTTTATTATTATTTGTATTGAGTAAACATTCTGTACATTAATCCCAAAATAGACAACAATTTGCACTGAATGAAGTCCTTTGAATAGAGCCTAGCTAGTCTGTAATATCAATACGAGATTTATTCAGCAAACAGAGCGAAATTAATCTCGGATGCAATCGAATCGTATTGCCTGACATATAAAATTCCGCTCTAGTAATAACGGTTTATATAGGTATAGACAGTTCTATGCGCCTAGCATCATAAAAACTTAAAAAAAGAAAAATACACCAGCGAGATTCGACAAATTGCGTTGACAATAGCGTAATACCGAGTTGAGTCGCTGCGATATCGGATCTGCTTTCGTACAAAATAATATCGCGTTGCATTCCGCATCAATTTCTTTCAACAAATATGCGCTTCCTAAAAATGATATCCACATATGTTTGTATTATAATATGCGCTTTGTTCGGAAATTTTGATTTGAAATAAAGACTGTAAAATCTGATCGCGATGGTTTTGAAAACAAAAATTCCAATTACGTATAAAGGCGTAATTTCGTAATCACTTTTTAAATAGTATCGAGAGAATACCACGCCCAATCGATCGTAAATCTTTCGTGAATCCACAAGAGAGGTTTCAGCAAACAGTGATATGTGCCGGTGAGAACCCTTCTCTTTTTCCGAGACCAAGCACGGCAGGGGCTCTCGACCACTGTAGGATTTCCACCCACCAACGGTATTCTTACTTTCACCCCCGTGTCTTCTGGTGCGATTCTTTCCACTTTCTGCACGGCAAACAGCATCTCTGGCGTTTTTTGCGCGGCGCGCAGTTATTTTGTCGAGACGATTTGTTATTTTTACAGATGTAAACTTTAATTCCCGACTGGATAATTGATGATTCCTCATTGTATATATAGGCACTCAAATTCTCCTCATTCTCTGTTGCCTAGATAAAATAAACAGTTAAATTTGTAACTAACCTGGTTCAATCTGGTTATTTTTACAGTACAAGGTAGTAAATCGGTTTTTTGAAGAACGAGCTGTAGTTGTAATACATCGTGCGGTAAGTGGATTTCTCCGAGGTGGTAGAAAAGCGCGTTTTAGAGCATTTGTTGCCATTTGCACGAATTGCAAACAGCAAATCTGTAAGCACCACCAGTGGAGGTATTGCTGAGAGAGAATGCGAGAATGGCTCTCGAATTGGACGAGAGTTAATGTTGTGACCGTAAGCCGCATCGCACCGGCCGGCACGATCGGCCACGAAAATAAAGTAAACGCAAATTTAAACGTAGCGCTCGGCTAACCGCATTTGGCATTGTTTGATGATGCTATCGGCGTTATTGAGAGCGCCGTTAACAATGGCGGCGGCAGGATACTAATGTTGGTCGCACGGACGCGCACTACGGCATTTACATGTATGCTGCATCATTTAAGCCACACACCCACACATGAAATCATCGACAAACGGTCCGCGATTACGGCGATCGCAATCGTTGCAGAAATGATCATTAGCGAAATGTTTTTGACGGAAATATATATTAAGCGGGGGATGGAGGTGAGCCGGGAGGGTCACACACGTATTCGCAAATGACTATTAGTCATTGCGTGACGGTTGGCAGGCGTGTGCCGATGGCAGAACTCTGGAAAAGCGCGATGCGAAACCGAAGCTGGGTCCGACTGGTTTTTACACTTTTGATGTGCTCAACGCTGGCACAACCTAACGATATAGTAAGTAAGTTTACTCATTAATACTCCTCATTTTCGCACCACGTCTGCAACATACATCAATACAGTGTCTCTCAAACTCGGGTTGAAAATATTCCATTTCCAATTCTTCGGCGGTGCGATTGTTCGATAGAATTTCTTGTTGAGTAAGGGAACGCGTGACGTATTGCACGACTATTCCTTTGAGAGCGTCTCTTCGACGTCTTGGAACACGGAGAACAAAACAAATTGCCCGCGTCGTGGACGTTCGCACGTCCCGGCGCTGAAAGATTCAATTACTTAACGGAAAATCTCGGTCATTTTTAAAACACAATTTATCTCGAACTATTGCAGTAATGGCACCCTATTCGCTCGACGTGTGGAGTGTGCCGGCGATTGCAAAAGTTTGTTAATGCCATGTCGACGTCTAATACACACAAGTGGACCACTTAGTCAAACTTTTTAAATTATCCAATCGAGGAAACTTTACATTTTAGCTGGTTTCTTTTCTAAGTCACACTTTTGTTTTGTTCCAGTTGAATCTTATTTTAGTCAACTTATTATTTACAATGTTTTTAATTAAATGCAAGACTACAGGGAAGACAAAGGCTTGTACTATAAAATTTAGTAAATATTTAATTAGTTGTCTTATTAAATACTGAAAATACTGTAAAATATTATTATGTCAGATTTATTCCTTAAAATCTAACAAATGAGAGTTGAGATATTTCCAAATTTCCAAAAACCAATAATGATATTTACCGTATTGTAGTTTTATCCCTTTCACGTTGTCGAAAAGTGCCATGAAACGCCATTTCACCCTGAGCATTATTAATGGACCTGAAAGATCCCTGTGTGGCGCACCCGCCTGTCTTAAAACTAACAATGACTTATTTCGCAGGCCACGAAGAGCGTCACCATCAGGAAGATTGCGCCGTGCCCGTCGACAGGCAGAAAACTTGCCATAGTCGTCGACGATGTAATAATTGCACGCTCAAGAGGAAATGCTCAAAGCGTGCGCGCGACGCTCGACGTAAAAGAAGACATCAAAAATCAGTCCTATGTAATTATGACGCCCAAATAGTGATTAAGAGTGACAATGTCGGTGTTTTTGAGCGGTGATAAGTCCGTAACACATGGATGCAAAACAGATAAATGCACGTAATGAACGCGCGCAATATCCGCCGAAATGACGAATTATTTATTAATCTGATTTATGTGCGCGTCCGCTGAACATTGATGCGATTGAACGTTTAACAGACGCATAAATGCGGGATATGCAAATGACACATCAGATCTTCGTATTTGATTAGGTCACATGGAATATTTAATGTGAATTTGCAAATGTTTAAAAAGTAGTTTTTGATGTCAATATATTTTATATCAATTCGTCAATTTCCGGAAGGCATGCTTAATTTTCAATGTCTATAGTACGAAAACTTTCACAATTATTGGCATAATTAATTATCAAGTGGGCGCTTGAAGTCGGTCGTCGAGGGGTTGCCGGTTCGACAAGCGTAAAGTTTGTGCTGAGCGGGGGCCGAAAAACTTTGCGCGCGCAAACGCTCAAAATTAATGACACAAAAGCTACTTTTTTCTTGTTTAACTTGATTGAAAGAATGCCTTAAATCCATAGTCGTCTGCTTCCTCCCATCCGAAAGATGGTGTGCATTTCTATACAGGCTTTAATTAAAATTGATTTACGACGTTCAATGATCCGCTCGGCGATTTTAAAGTCTATATAATCGGATGAACGAAATGAGGGGAAAAAGAACGAGCAAGTGATAATTTGCTGCTTTTTTCAGATGATAGGAGATATCATCAAGTGCGACGTAAATGGCAATCCGGATCACTGCGAGTACGTCATTAAGAATTACAACATGACTAATGTGTGCGAGTTTATCACTGCAAAAGACGAAGTCTGGTCGGTTGCTTTCGAGAGCTTAGACCAACCATTTAATTGTCCCATCAAAAAGGTAATTTTTAAACTTAAAAAACAAGCCTATATATTTCCTAGCATACTAAATGTGGTTAATTTTTATGCAAAGCGTATTTTCTTCTCCCCTTTACTTTCGGAACCACTTAGCAATAAAAATAAAAACGGCACAAAAAAATAATTTACATTATTTCAATTATGGCCTCCTCACTGACTTTGGCCCAAAACGCGCCAACTGAATGAAGTCGCACTGAGAGGTCATTTAAATAATTTTCCACGTCTTAGCGCGCAGCAATAATTCACATAATTGCATTAATGTGACGCGCGAAAAGCACTGCGGCCTGCTTTTATAACTCGTCGCTTCGCGCGCTCGCCCCCTAACGAAACGAAAACTTTCTCGCGGGGGTGGGTGGATGTGCTTTTGTAAACGCAAACGCCACTTGCATTCATAAGACTAGCATATCCCGGATGAATAACTTATAAAAAGCCGCGTGAATTATTTCGCAATTTATAAAGATTAGGATTAATTTACACTGCAAGGGTGAATTATGAATTAAACGTGCATCTTATAGTAAATTAGCATTAGCAGGGGTGTTGAAATAGTTAAATAGTGTTACTTTCGGGTGTGGAAAGCAGCAGGCATGTGGTATTGTCACAAAATGCCAATTATAACTATGGTTGTTGGGCCGTCGAAGTTGCGGTATTCCCGATGCGACACGACGCCGTTTGCCGAGTTTATCAATCCGGCTTTGTACCTGGCTAATTAAACACACTAAACTTTGCATTGTCCCATCCAATTAGATCGACGTTGTGTATCGGCCGCCCTCATTTGAGGATGAACTCCCGCCCGACCGGGTACACTAATCAAACATGCATGTGGATCGAATTTACATGGGGAGAAGATTATCAGTGAATTTGTTGCGTTTGACAACTGTTTCCATAATTACACACATTGCGTTTTACTCAAATTCCGACAATTGTACAGTATTGATTGTTATTTGACACCAAATAAGTAAATATTATCTTGTAATGTAATTGTAATTTTTATAGGGTTTTTATCAAATGAAAGAAGTTCTAGTATCGAAAGAAATGTTGGAATTTGCGCCATCAAGCAATGCAATTTGGAAAGCACAGTACCGAGGATACGAAGGCAACGTGAATATTTTTTGCGTCGATCTAGAGATGCTTGTAAAAATGGTGCATCCGCGCACGGGGCGCGGAAGGCGTCAATAGTCATAACCACATCCGAGTCTCGGGTTGCAACTGTAAGCTTGCAGCTTGAACTGACTCGAGTCGTAGTAATACTAGCGAGAATAGGGGCATTGTTTGGGGAGGTGCACAAAACTGTTCGGGGTACGCTTGGGACCTCCGGCGAGGTCATGGAGTCACATGTTTGGCTAGTCCTAGATAGTCCTCGCGCTCTAGATGCGCGCAGGATACACGATACGGGAGGACAACTTCCGCATATTCCCGGCATTCACAACCTATGATGGCGAGCGCCGGGCGCATAGTAAATGTTCCTGTGGTGGCTGTAACCACACTCTGCACGACGACTTGCCGAACATAAAAATTCTTAATGCAAGCGTACTTGTAAAACACAATAAAAATAAATCCATAAAATGTGAAATATTTTCGATGTTTTAAATATTTATAAAACATTGGTACGCAATAATTTTCATCCAATATATGAACTCTTTATCCACTTTCCAAAAACATAGTTAACAATAAAAATGGTATGCGTGCATATTGCATTCGCGCAATTTATTATTTTATTAAAAAGCGGGCTAATGCATCCGCCACGTCAGCATATTGAATGCGCATTGTGCCGTTTTTCGGTCACCCGTGCAGTTAATAACACCGACTAACGAGGCCCGAGCGTGGGGCGAACCGCTATGAAATATAGCGGCAATTAACAAATGTATCTGCGTCGGCGACGCAAAAATTACGCGAAATTATTTTTAGTGATTAAAAACATGTCCAAACAGCTACACCTGCCCGCGTGCAAAGCTAGTTGATGCAAGATGAGCAACAGAAAAATTATTTTGTTATTCCAGCGCTACGCCGCCGGCACATTTTAATTTCTCCAGAGACGCGAACCGATGGATCATATTGCTACTAGTTTTTAATTTCAGGAAAGATGCTCCGATACGAAAGTGCTGGCGCGTCGGGTAAATGCTTATCAAACATTCATGCAAATTCAATTTCGTACTCAATCAACTTTTCCAGTTTTATTGCACTTATTCTCTTCTGTTTGTATTTATGATGTGGAGGCGCCGGGCATCCAACGCTGATAATTTCATTTGTTTTGTAATTTATTCACAAATTCAAATGTATATCATAATAAAATTCTTTATCAAAATTAAATAAGTTTCAAGTCGATTAATATCCCCTCAAAAATTGTTTGCCCATCAAAGAATATCAAATTCTCGTGTGGACACACAAAAAGCAATGTTTGCTTATAGATAAAAGTTGATTGATGTTGGTTAAAGAAAAATTTAGTGTTGCGCTCGGCGAACATAATTAATCTTTTTTCGGTGTGGCGCTGAGTAATCTCGTCTTTCGTCGCTCGCCCCCATCTGAGCATACCCACACTTTACGCTCGAAGGCAATCAGCGTGTGCGTGCGAAAAAACTAAGTTTTTTTTTAAATTAATTATGTGGCGATATCGAGAGCAGCTTAATTTATCTTGTCGATTAACCGCGGAAGAAAGCAGGTTGGAGGTGGGTGGCGGTGAGTCTTCAAGTTGGCGCGTCGCTTGCGGGCCCTTGCGTTGTTTGCACAACGTATACGTCTCTTCTTGTGTTTTCCATCCGGTTCGACATGCTGTGCATTGCTTGCAAGTTCAATCCTTTTGAAGTTTATTAAAACGACGGTACATTTCTGTTTATGTTTGGTGCATCGCATGCATTCTATGAAAATCTCGCATCGCGATGCTTGCGGTGCAAATATAACCGGAGTAAATAACGCGAAAATGCCCAAAGAGCAACCTAAAGTTGACGAGAACATAGGTACTCTTTCAACTATAATTATTTTTATTATTATTCACCAGCAAGGAAAGAAAATATATTTTAATCTTTCCAAAACTTATTTAAAAAATGTTTTAATAATTAATAAAACTCATTTTGATGAAAATAAATAAATATTCTTAAGATGATCGCACAGCGAAAGATTTCAATAACTTGCCGGGTGGCGAGTTATTTCTGAACAATGAGGCAGCGCATCGGAAAGATTCTCGATCTTCTATTGTACGTCGGCGGCAATACAATAAGACGTGCCGATAAAAATTCATTTTCGTTTCCACAAATTTCCCGCACAGCTCCTTCTAATTTTTATTGTTAGTTTCATTCCGTCATGGAGCAGCGTGCGCGCAATTCATTTCGAAGAAAGAAAGAGTTCTCCACCCGGCTCGAGTTGATTGGAAATCTGCATTCGATTCTTTCAAAGTTTAATTATATCCGCTGCCATTGAACAAATACTATTATATTATTTTCCAATATGCGGCGTAATAGAAAACGGCTCAGGTGGAAACCTATCAAGGGATCAGACTGCGTCTCCATTCATCCACAGAGGTGAAAGCAAATCCAAGCGGACGCAAATTTGAACGCACCACAGTTTCCTCTTCCGCACATCCGCGCGTTTTTAATATCATTATTTACCTTTTACCTTTTTGTATTAACACTTGTGTTGATGTTGTGTTTATTTTTTGAAGTGGGTTTTTCACTTTTAATTTTCAAAGCCTTCGTGCTTTCTGGAATAAAATAACGGAAACGATTTACGCTCGGTGTTTTTGGCTGATTTTATTTGGTGGCGTATCGGTCAAAGCATTACGTGTATTCACCGCTCAGCATTCATCAATACAGCCCGGCCGAAAGCGTTCAATAAACCAGGAGCGGGCGAAAAATCGCCCGGCAGCACATTTGACATTCGTTCATAAAGTGCAATCCATTAAAGGCAGCGAGTAATTATATTAAGCCATTAGTGTCATTATGTATCTGTGACGTGTATAAATCATGATTGTCAAGCCACAAATTGTTGAATATTTACTCTTGGCAGCGTGAGCGAGAGGGGCGGCAGTGTCGGCTGCTGGGAGCGTTCGAGTATAACACTGATAAAATATGTGTTATCCGTTCGGCGTTCGACGTTTCGGTTAATTCCATTCCGCGCGCGGGCGTTTCATCATTGCACCACCGCATCCGGGAAATTCGCGCATTGAATTTCCGAAAAGCAGGCACACTTCCAATTGCAGCCGCACAACAAAAACATGATGTATCCTCATATTGCATCAATCTCCAATTGACATGTACGATTGAATAAACAAAAAATTTTAAACAAAAACCCTATGATGAGAATATTAATATTAAAACTTTCATTTGCCAGCCAACCTCATTGTAGTTAATATTGTAAAACTGCATTCGCAAAAACGAAATGCAATGCAAGGCATGATTTATGAATCCCTTTGACGAGCAAATACAGTTAACTTATGACAATTCCGTTTTGCGTACATTGCAAGCGAGGCTAAAAGCCACGGAGCGCGACGCGAAGTCCGCCACAACTCGGGCGTGTAATAAAATAATGAATAACTTGTACAACACGGGTAGATTCTGCGCTTCCGGGCGCAGATTATCGCAGCGCTGGCATTTCGCCTGGCGCTGAATCCAATCTGAAAATTTAATTTATTCTATAATCATATCAGTCTAGTTATGGATATAATTAATTTCGATTCAAAAATATCAGCGCTGGGCATTATGGCACCGAGTTGGCAACAATGCGTTGGCGCCGAGGGTCGCGTAATTCGACCAACAATAATACCCGACGATGCACAATTTCGCTGCGGCCAAATGCTTATGCCCGAATGCAACTTTGCAATCCCGTGTGCATCCGCTTCTAATCACTCGCGGACTTTATCGAGTGTGCACATTTATTCATATGTGCGTGTATAGATATGCAATGGGTTGTGCCAAATTGCGTTATAGCCAAATAAGCCCATTGATTATAAAATTGTTTATTGATTTACTCACACACACATATCCACAGACAAAGTTTGCTCCATCATGGCGAACCATGGAACTCAAAATAATAAAGCACATCAATGAAAATAAACGTTGATATTGACTTGTTATCTTTCCACTCTTAAAACACTCTTTCGCGGTTGGTTATTTTCATAATTGACGTCGAAATAGTTTGAGTGACAAGAATAAAAATATTTAAAATGAATTCCATTTGGATTTCAATTAAATCTATTCAATTTCCTCTCCATAACATAAAAATTAACACGAGTCATTACACGCGCCCTTTTGATAGAAAAAGCGTGCTGAAAATGATTTCGATGCGAATTCAATTTCCCACTGTGTCGGAAACATCACACAAACTTTCTCTGATACCAGTGCCAGTTGCACCAGCTCGGAGCGAGTTACGGCCCATCTTAATTTGCAAAACAAACATAATTATCACGACGCCTCCGCAGGAACTCGGCAAAAATAACCACCGCACCATCCGAGTGAAATGCCCAGTAAACACATCGATATTTGTGAATGGCGTGGAAAGCACGAGCAACGAAAATAACGAAAAGTAGGGCTACTAAACGAGAGAAAAAAAACCATCACGACCTCCGAATGGAATTTCTAAAACAACGCCCTGAAAGAGCAACCTGGAGCGAAGAAAATGCAAATAAATGGCCCGGCCGGAATTAAGGTTATCGTTCAAGGTCGTCTCACTGGAAGCAGCTTAAAATATTAAATACACCGTTCTCATTAATGTTTCACCACCAAAGTGTCTAGCAAACCTAAATATTGACGATTATTTATCAATAAATAATTAAACTCAAATGTATGTACTGCTTTTAAAGCCTGAACGAGATTTATTAACACATTTGCACTAAATTAAAAACCACATACCTAATATACATAATATAATATATAAAATGATAAAATAAAGCTTTTGGAATATAATGAAATATTAATTTTGGTTTTGGCCGAAGAGTTGGCTGTAGATATGGTTAATGCATCATAAAAGGATCGCTCTTTGAAAATAATAAATTTGACGTTGCTTTTTCGACCAAACGTGTTTCATTTACGATACGGCCGGCGAATGAGCTATTGTAATAGCGGATTTAATTAAACGCGGACGCACGCTAATGCAGGTGTAATTAAAGCTGAAAGAAGTGCAATTGCAACGGGGAAATACGGATGGGCTCAGAGCGGACGGCATCATTTTGCCAGCGCGGATTGTTCGTGGCTGAGCAAAAGTAAAACGTGCAAATAATTAATATGTCACATTTTACGTTATGACAATATGGCGGTGTATGTGTGGTGTGCCTTTTGAAGAATTTGCATAGATGAGAGTGCACTAAGCCACTAATCCCAACATAGGTTGGAATAAGAGCGAAAGCAAAAAAGGTTTAGTCTTGAAACATAAAATTCATACAACGGCGAGCTTTAATAACATGTATCTTCACATAAATAATATTACCTTGAGTGGAATTAAACTGAATATTTTTATAACAATTTATCTTTTTAGTTTTAGTAGTTTATGGCTTTGGTGATTTCAATAAAACATTTTTTTGTTCATATATTGTTGTTCTGCTGTGAATTTTTTCATACCAAGAATAAAATAGACAGAAAAACACGTCCCCATAATAATTCTTTCTATTCAAGACGATTTGAAGATCTTCAAATTGTTATTTT